GGTCGCCCGTCTCCCAGTACAGCTGATTTTTCGACCATCTGCGAATTTGAAACGTTTGCCGAAGTCGGCGCGGTTGTATGAAGAGAAATGTGGCCGAAGTGACGCACGTGTTGTGCAGAAAATTAAAACTGCCAATCACCAGAGCACTTCACTTGGTCACATGTGAAGTGTGAGGTCAGAATTATGCTGGTGAAACTATGTGGCCACTTTATACTCGGATGGAAGAACATGTGGGAGGGCTGCGGAATCGTTCTTCTCATTCGAAGAGTGGACTTTCACCGCATCGCACCCTGTTGCATGAAGAAGAAGCCACACCGACCATAACTCACCGTATTGCATCGCTTGAAAGAAGGCCCATTAGAAAAAAAAACTGCTCAAGACGCTTGCTATCAAACGTGCATCCCCCGAAATATACAATAGGGATGAGCTCATAGGAGCAATGAGTCTGATATCTTAGCGGTAGTGATAGTAGGGAAGTCATTTGAGATGTCACGCACACCACATTTCTAGTGACTTTCAGTTACATGGGCGTGCGGTTGGGGGAAGCGTCCGTTCGTTGTTTTGTGCTTTAGTAGTAGTTGATTGCACACATTGTATTGCAGCCCATGGTTGGTTGACCTGGCCAATCTGGTTAGCTATCTGTTTAATTCACCTCTTGGTAAGCGGTTGTTATGCAAGTATGCCTGACATATTGTATTTTAAGTTCTTCCGAAAGAAAGAGCAAAGGCTTACCAATAAAGGTTATCGAACGAGTCCTCAATTATTAAAAGAAGGAAATCGAAATCATACAATCCCGAAGGTATCGAATGTGCAGAGGTCAATCCTGACGCATAACCCATAAAGAAAGGATTGATGTGATGCAAGGAAACCCTAAAAGTTTCCGAGATATACGGCCTGGTTTCTGCTGATGGGGCAAGGTCGGCCACGGCTTACTCTGTCACTCTAGCCCAGTTTCCTCAACCAGTAGCTGTACAACCCCTCCCCACCCCAGCAGCCCAATGCTCACTCACATCGGCTTTCCTCTGTGACGCTCTGACAAGAGTTGAAAAACAAGAAAATCACAATCTCGGTTTTGTAGCGGTGTACCAACTTCTGCATCTCCTGCCATTTTCTTCTTGGACAGGTTCATGAAGATCACGTTCCATCAAGAGATATGTGAATGAGGCTCACAACATTCCCTCTTGATGGTCTTGAAAACTCGTGCAATGGAACATAGTTAACTTCTTCTCACAAATGGAGTCAAATGGGAGTGGTAACATGATGATTTACACAAAGTCATGCGAGTGAGAGGTTTTGAATATACAGGTTGGCGATCTAGCACTCCGACGAGAAGCCTCCTGATCGAAGGTCGAATGAGAGCGGCAAAGATGTTTTCTTGGGTGTCACTGTGACCATCATATGACACATGGAAACAAGAGAAAGCATAGACACACCTCCATACAAATACTTAGGTAGCGTTCATACTTCGAGACAGCAGCGGCGATCGCCGCGATAGCCGGTACATGGCAAAGCGCGCCTCAACGCTATTACTTGCGCTCCGAAGGCTTTTGGGAAGAAGGGACTCAATTTCACGCTTTTTTCCTTCAACTGCAATTTTCTTAGGTACTGAAACTTGGTTTGACACAAAAAAGGTGATCCGAACTCAATGGCTTTTGTTTTCGATTTTCTTTCTTGATTCAGGATAGAAATGAGCAAAAAGTGTGAGAGCCTCATTTAGCTTTTTGTACATAAGGTTATAAACTTCTTACTTGTTGATGTTGCGTAAAAAGATTAGTTTTGGTTGCTGGGCGAGTTTCTTTCTGTTTCTTTTTTTCTTCGTTGTTTGAACTCGACTTGGAAACAGTGAATGTTTTGGAAGTTAGAACAGTTCAGTCGATAGGAATTTTAGAGGCGCTTGCATAAATTGAAACAAAAAAAACAAAAAAAAACAAAAAAAAGCTCACCCAAGAAATGGAGTTGGTCTTATCCCGACCTAAGAAGTAGTGAAACCTCCTTACCTCATATTCCAGATCCGCTTATCTTTGAAAGTCGTAAGTTATCAGTTAGTAGCCATTATTAGGAGAAAAGGAGGTCTCACAAGTTGGATTTCCTTAGTTATCAAGCGAGTAATCATAATAGCGTTGGGGCGCGCTCTGCCACGTACCGACGATCGCGGCGATCGCCGTTGCTGTCGCGAAGTATGAACGCTGCCTTATGGCGCACTCCTCT